GGCCTAGACCCTTCATCAGAAAAAGGGTCTAGGCCCGAAACGTCAGCCTCTCTGCTCCTATGATGCTGCTTGGCCTGCTGTGTTCATCCAGCCCTGCACCTTGTTGTCTAGGCACAAAAAAAAGATGGCTAGGTCAGAGATAGGACTGCTCAGAATCAGGGGGCCGGTGAGCTCAGTTTCGGCTGGTTTGTGATTCAGAGTCGTGTCAACAGCCTGGGTTCAATTCCTGCTCCTGGTGAGGATATCATGAAGGACTCTCCTTCTCAATCTCTCCCCTTGCAGGAGGCGTGGTGACTCTCGGGTTAAACTACCACTAATCCGCTTTCTCTGTCTCTCTAATGAAAGAGCAGCCCTATGATCTGGTAGGACTATGGCAACTTTACATAGAATCCCACATCTTTCCACCAGTACTTGGCACTGATGCGACTCTTCAAAGGGATAGCCCCCATGCCCCCCAAAAAAATCTGCTTGATTTATAAATCCATTTCCCTGCTAAACTCTGTGCTAGCAGTGTGTCAAGATTAATATGATTTACAATTAACTGGAAAAGACAAAGCATGTTTTTTAATTATTTTAAGGGATGTGGTTGTTGAGATGGGGTTGTTAGAATATTTAAGGCCGAGACAGGCAGATTTGTAACCTATAAGGGAATCAACGGTTATGGGGAAAAGGGCAGGAAAGTGAAGGTGAGGATTATCCAATCAGCCATGATTCCACTAAATGATGGAGCAGACTGAATGGGCCAAATGGCCTACTTCTGTTCCTACAACTTATGTTCATTAGCCAGCATTTTTTGCCCATTCCTGATTGGCTTTGGGCCAAGAGGCTTGCTAGGGTCATTTCAGAGGGCAGTTAAGAGTCAACCATGTTGCTGTGCATCTGGAGTTACATGTAGGCCTGACCAGGTAAGGAGGACAGATTTCCTTCCAAAAGGAATACCTGAAAAACAGACGGGATTTTACAAGAATTGATGATAGTTTACTGGTCACCATTACTAATGGCTACTTTTCACTCCAGGTTTTCTTTAATTTACCGAATTTATTAATTAAATTTAAATTACACCAGCTGCCATGGTGACCATAAGATACAGGAGCAGAACTAGGTCATTCAGCCCATCGAGTCTAACTGCTACTTGACCATGGCTGATGGTGAGATTTGAACCCATGTCCCTAGATCATTAACTAGGATCACTAGACCAGTGACTCTGACAATATACCACGGACTTCCTCTAAAATCAGCTACAATCTCCACCCCCTACCTTTACACGCTCATCATTTTAGATTTAGAACATGCTGTAAACCTACCTGAGAAAATGCCGCCATTTCTCCGAATATAAAATAGTCAAGACACATTACTTGCATTTAAAACTGGAATTTTTTAAATTCATTCACAGGAGTCACCGATTAGGCCAGCACTTATTGCCTGTCCCTAACTGCCCTGTGTAGTTAAGAGTCAACCACATTGCTGTGGGTGTGGAGTCACAGGTAGGCCAGACCAGGTAAGGATGGCAGCTTCCTTCCCTAAAGGGCATGCGACATCAGACATTTTGTAAGTTTGACACTTGAAGACCTACCCTCAGCAATCGAAGAGCCTCGTCATAGTTTTCATGCCGCAGTTCCATCTCCCCATATTCACACCAAACGCTCGCAAGATCATCAACGTGCTTGAAGTTTACTTTTGTGGCTTTTTCAAATATGGTTCGAGCCTGAAACAGAAGCAGATGCAGCTCAGGAACATTTACTGTCCTTTTCAAGAGAGAGTGGCTGCAGCAGTGAGCGTTGGAATGTCAGGCTGTTGATGATCTACGAAGACTCATTGGCAAGGCTCACTATATTTAAGAGTTGTGGTAACCATCAATATTAAACACCCACAAGGTTCGAACTTCCAGTTGCTTGCCATTTCAATTAATCACCTTGCTCCTACACTGACATTACCATCCTGCGCCTGCTACAGTGTTCCAAAAAAGCTCAATGCAAGCTGGAGGAATAACATCTTATTTTCTGCTTAGGCACTTTATAGCCTCTAGTGCTCAATGTTGAGATTAATAACATCAGAACATGACCTCTGTCCACCATTCTGATTAAAAACAACACCCTCAGCCACGTCTTGTTGCTGTCTTGATGGCTTTGTTCTCGGCAGAATGGACTCATTTTCTGAGGAAGGGTCTCTGGATCTAAACATGAACTCTGATTTCACTCCACAAATGCTGCTATGACCTCATAGAGTCATAGAGTCCTACAGCACGGAGACAGGCCCTTCGGCCCAAACTGGTCCATGCCAATGAAAATTTTCATCCATGCTAACCCCATTTCCCTGCACCTGGCCCAAATCCCTTTAAACCTTTCCCATCCACGTATTCATTCAAATTCCTTTTAAGTGTTGTTAACGTACCTACCTCAACCACTTCTGCTGGCAGCTCATTCCATATGTGTACCACCCTCTGTGTGAAAATGTTGCCCCTCAGGTTCCCATGTATTCTCTCCCCTCTTACCTTAAACTGATGCCCTCTAGTCCTCGATTTTCCAACCCTGGGAAAAAGACTGAATGTGTTCACCCTGTCCATGCCTCCCATGATCTTATACACTTCTATAAGATCTCCCCTCAGTCTCCTAGACTCTAAAGCACCACCCTATAACTCAGTCCCTTGAGTCCTAGCAACATTCTCGTAAATTTCTTCCGCACTCTTTCCAGTTTAGTAACACCCTTCCTCTAGTAAGGTGACCAAAAGTGAATACAATACTCCAAGTGCAGCCACACCAACATCCTGTACAACTGCAACATAACTTCCTAAATTCTACACTCAATGCCCTGACTAATGAAGTCCAGTGCGCCAAAAGCCTTCTTCACTGCCCTGTCTACCTGTGACTCCACTTTCAGGAAACCATGCACCTAAACTCCAAGGTGCCTCTGTTCCACTACATTCCTTAAGGCCCTACCATTCACAATGGAACTCCAACCTTGATTTGACTTTTCAAAATGCAACACCTCACACTTATCTATATTAAACTCCATTTGCCATTTCTCGGCCCGCTTCCCTATCTGATTCAAGATCCAGCTGCAATTTCTGATAACCTTCCTCACTGGCCACAATACCACTACTTTAGTATCATTTGCTGAGCTTTTCCAATTAATTCCTGTTTTTCATAGACCCATTTTCTCCTTTCCACACTTAACATTTGCAACTATTTTGTTCTCATTTAACGCTATTATCACTCCTTTTATCTTTGGCTCTGGGCATCATAATCATCTGTTCCACTCGCTCTTCTCCTTCCCCTCCCACGCCAACTGACATCTGACGACAGTATAAAAATAAACCATTTTCCAGCCACCTTTAGTTGCGAGGAAGTCACAGTGGACTCAAAGTTAACTCAGCTGCCAGACCTTTTGAATTTGAACTTTCTCTTTTATTTCTGCAGCTGTGTGGCTGAGTTTGGAGGTGCATGCTGGGAATGTGCATCACCACAAATAAATTCTTGAACAAGTATGTAAAGGTAGGCTCCAGCTCTACGCTTCACCACAATTTAAAACAGATTGCACCATTTATTACATGGTTAAAATATGGGAATCTGCTAAATTCCTTCCATCCATCTCAGTTCATCATAGTCAGAAATCAGTCGATACCAGGTTATGGTCCAACAGGTTTATTTGAAAATCACAAGCTTTCAGGTGACCTGACAAAGGAGCAGCACTCTGAAAAATTGTGATTTCAAATAAAGCTGTCGAATTGCAAGCTGGTGTCATTTAACTTTTGTCTTTGTCCACTGCAGTCCAACACGAGCACCTCTACATCAGTTCATCATATGGCTTACAAGTGTTGCCGAGGAACTGGGTCAGAAATCAAACACTTCCAGGCTTTCTCTATGCTGCCTCAATAAGGAGTCTTGGTTCCAAACCTCAGAAAAAGCTACTGTGCAAATCTGCCAAATAATTCCATTTCCCTCTGGTGAGACTGACAATTAGCACCTAAATAGGGCCATTCTCTTGTGGAGGTCCACACTCATTAGAGACTGGATTAAGACTCATTTCACAAAGGACTCCTGCAGTCAGAATGTTGCCCTGTCAGTTTGACAATAATCAAACCTATTGCACCATCCTCTGAAGCTTTAAGATACAAAGATACAACTTACATCTTGAATTTGACTGTTTTCTTCATAAAACTTTGCAAACGAAACCCAGAGCGTATGTGGCTTTCCAGTGGCTTTTAATGGGTCAACCGTCTGCACCGCTTCTGTGTACGTGTTAATGATCTGTAATGCAGAACAGCAATGAGCAAGTACAACAAACGCTCCAATTCCTACCATTTTAAAGCAAAATGAAGTCATCTGATTAGATGCAGGTAACAGTGTGTTTGGAATCATAAAGCACTGTGCAACAACTGGCATGGTGCTCCTGGTATCAGAGGGATCAGCAGAGATGTTAGCACCATTGAAGATAGCTGCAAAAGAAAGTGTCAGCCATGGGCTCACCAAGTGAAGGAGCTGACTCAAGGGGACAAAATGGTCTGCTACTCTTCTGCCTGTCATGCCGGCTCACTCACAGCAATTGCCAATGAATGACAATGACAGACACTTTGAGCAGATCACCAACGTTCCTTCGTGATTTACATCAGTGTTGCCAACAATCTGCTTTCCATGTGAACATTTGACTTTTCCAATACCACATTCAAGCTCCGTTTGAATGACGTCTTGGAAAAAAAGGCATGGACAAAGAGGTTATGGGGTAACTTCCAATTAGCCACTTGTCCTTTGTCTAAATGTGAGCCGTAATTGCTTAGAAATTACTGTATACTTCCTCTCTAAAGTAAACTTCGAAGTAATAATAACATTCCTGACTCAAAGGACTGTGTAATTATAATATCCGTCACAGCAGACACAGAATACCGCTAACAACAACTCAGATGCAACTCAGTACCTGTGATTAAATTCTTACTTTTCTTTCTCCTACTTTTTCAAATCAGCTTAACCATCCAACCCTTGAATTGGAATAATTACTGCTGTTTATTGATATTTAGTGTGATTGACATCGACATTGCAGATTGCTCCATTTAATAGAAAGTCATCTTGGAGATAGGAGGATACCTCTAGACAGAAACGGTCCCACTAATTAAGATGTGACCCTAAGTTTGGACGGCTGCATGTTATAAGTGAAAGGAAAAAGATAGACAGATGTGAAGTTTTAAGGTTAAATATATCAGGAGGAATTAGTTTGAGTATGGGGAAGAACGGACAAAATATATGTAGATTGGTTTACATGTAGTTGTTTGGCAGTATAGAGTTTGAGTATTGCTGACGAGAGAAACCTGCTTTTATCTTTACAGGCAAAAGGAATGCGTCCAGGCAATGTGCTCTTTTCAATTAAAAACTGTGGGGAATTCAGCTTCCTGGTGCTTTCTGCATGCAACCAGTCAGTGCTGACTGGCCAACCAATCAATAACCTTTTCTCATATAGTACAAATTATTGCTTCCTTTGAAATTTGGCTTTTTGAGCCTATTGTGAAGAGCACAAGATGAAACGCTTCAACGACCAGTATCTTTTTGGACTAGTTTAAGAAAGTAGGTCATTTACCTCATTACCTACTTCTACAAATTGAAGTCAGCCTATTAACAATTTGGAAATAACAGATTTGTCACCAGAATGCAGGTATATCACAAGTGTTTGAAGCTATCCTGCATTTTTGAAAGGTACTATTTCTCATTTAACATCACTTATCATTCAGTGCAACGTACAGTCAGAGAGATGTACAGCTCAGAAACAGACCCTTTGGTTCAACGTTTCTGCGCCAACCAGATAGCCTAAATTCATCTAGTCCCATTTACCAGTATTTGGCTCATATCCTTCTAAACCTTTCCTATTCATGTACCTATCCAAATGCCCAAATGCCTTTTAAATGTTGTAACTGTACCAGCCTCCACCACTTCCTCTGGCAGCTCATTCCATTCACATCACCCTCTGCATGAAAAGATTGCCCCTTGGTCCTTTTTAAATCTATCCCCTCCTACCTTAAACCTATGCCCTATAATTTTGGACTCCCCTACCATGGAAAAAGACCTTGGCTATTCACCCTATCCACGTCCTTCATGATTTTATAAACCTTTATAAGGTCAACCCTCAGCCTCCGACACTCCGGGGTAAATAGCCCCGGCTTATTCAGCCTCTCCCTATAGCTCAAACCCTCTAGCCCCAGCAACACCCTTGGAAATCTTTTCTGCACTATGTTGTGGGGTTTATTCTGAAGGGGTCATGCAGCAAGCCTGAGGAATCCACAGATGTTCCTCACCTCTCGTGGCTTTCCTTCATACAGTTTGACCCGCTTATGCCACTCGTGAACGTTGTGTGGGTTCTGCCGAAGCAGTACACTGTTCAAAAGGAGGGGACGTCTGTTTATAAGCTGCTCAAATCGTGCCAATCGAAGCTCTAGATCGATATCATCTGTTAAAAACAAGCAGACAGGTGTGTTACTGCCACTGGCCATGTCAGTGAAGAAACTGGTGAATACCTCACCATTTCCTTCAGTATCAAGGCATAACCCTGAAACGAAAGATAGCTGAGTGGTATGTCTGAGCTGCAGAAAACAATGTTAGAACTACCTAAACAGCAGATAAACTCTAACTGGAGTACTGCATACAGTTCTAATCACTGCAATGCAGGAAAGACATGGTGTCACTCGAATATTTATGAGATTGCGGCCTTTAGCGAAGAGAAAATGCTTGGACAGGTTAGGGCTGTTTTGTTTTAAACAAAAGACAGTGAGAGAGATGTATTTGAGGTGTACAAAATTAAAACAGGCCTCCGTAGAATGTGTAGGGAGGACACATTGCTCATAGCATGAGTTAACTGGTCAGGGACAGAAATTTAAAGTAATTAATAGGAGTAGAGGACAAATTGAGAGAGAAATCTTTCAATCAATGGTGGATATCTGGAATCCGCTGCTTTAATGGTCGTTTGAGGCAGAAGAGATTATTGCATTTAAGAAGATTCTTAAATCTGCATTTCAAGTTGCTCAATTTTGGGTTACAGGGCTACGGACCAAGAGCTGGAAATAGCTTAAAAAAAGCTCTTTTTTGGATGGCAATGGTGCAATGGGTTGAGTGGCCTCAGTGTCTTAAGTTTTCTATGCTCAGGACAGAAGATTCTGTTGATTCAGTTCAATTTAGTGGTGCAAGGTCTGTGAATGTACTTCCATAACTCAGTTGCCATCCAGAGAAGTCTTAGGTGTAATGTTACACGGCCAATGGCATTTGCCAGTGCTGTTTCAATAGATCAATCTTGGAAAGGAATGAGGCACTGCCAACCCTGTCAATGCAGTGTTCTAATCGTGGAATTGGGTACAAATGTGTCTTTGTGACCACATCTACTTACCTAAATTCCATACAGAATCTAGTTTGGAGCAAATATGATGAAAAATTTCCAGTAGATTACTGAAGACAGGAAAAAGAAAGCATTCACTCCTACATTTCATTAAAAAAAAATACAGAAAAATCCTTGCGGCATAAGGACTTTATCCAAAAGACTTACTTTTGTGCCAAGAAAAGTACAATAATTCACTGCACAAGTGAAAATGAAAAATAAATCAACAATCTATAATATTTGCAAATCATGTATGTATACAATCGCTCATTTATGACTCTCCTCAGCTTAATTTTCTTCCTGAAGAAAGGGCAGAAAGCCCTGCGAGGTAACAGCTTCATTCGTAGTTCTGACCAAGTTTACAACAGCAACCACAGGAAGGACCAGACTGGGACAAGAACTTTTACTCTATATTAGGCAAAGTGTTATCATTTGAAATGTACTGCCACAAGAGGCAACGGAAGCAGATTCAATAATTTTCAAAAGGGATTTGAATGTATACTTGAAAAGTCTGGTTAAAATTCTGCAGGACGATGCTGAGTTGGAATCAGGACACTGTGAACAGTGCTGGCAGTTTCCTTACTAAATGTCCCTACTCCCATTGCAGCCAGTTCAGAGAAGGTTGATTCAGCTGACTCCTGGGATGCTAGGACTTTATGAGGAAAGTTTGAGCCAGGTTGGGCCTTTACCCATTGTGGAATCTACAACAATGAAGGTTGATCTTACTGAAACTCGCAAGATTCTGAGGTAGCTTGACAAGGTAGATGCTGAAAGCATATTTCCTCTCAAAAACTATTTTGAACAGCATCCAGATGGTCAATTGTAGAAAGTGAAAAATGAGTTTGGTTTCCTGATGACGATGATACCAGGCTGGTACATCCATACGTGGACATCAAGTACAGATAGTACCACGTGTGGCTGCGATTTACCTGCTGATATTGACACTTTGGGATTACAGTGGAGGAAAGGCTGTATCGAGGGATCATTAGCTTCCTGGCATCACTAAATGTAGCCCAGCAGGAGAGAGCAAAGGGATAAATATTAAATAAAAGCAAATGCAAAACGTGCAAAATAACTTTACCTTCTTCTGCTTGCCCCATTTCTGCTGTTGTTTCCATTTTAGCTGCAATCATGCTCTCCTCAAACTGTGCATAACTATCAAAGACTTGGGTGAAATCTCGAACTGTCATCACTGTCTGAATCGCCTCTTCATACACGTCTCTGGCCTAGAGGGAAGACGGAAGTCATTCTTTGGTTTCGCTATTGAAAATAATAGAATTATAGAGACATTACAGCAGAGAAAGCCACTTAATCCATTGTGTCCCTCCAAAGAAACAATTCACATACTGTTATTCCCTTGCCTTCCCACTCCCTCATACCAGCACAATTCTCCTCTGCAGAGAATGAGAGAGAGAAGGGCAGAGAGAGAATGACACAGAATGTAAAAAAAAAGAGAATGAGATAGGGAGTGAGAGAGAGAATGTGAAAGGAGAAAAGAGGAATGAGAGTGTATACAACAGGATTAGGCGAAGGCATAAATTTGTCTGTATATTCCAAGATCAAAGTGATGGGATGGATAAACATGCGTGTACCCAGGATAAAGGTGAATGGATGTGTGTTTCTTTTCTTTATTCCTATATGGGATGTACTGTCGCTGGCAAAGTCAGCATGTGGTTTGCTAGGGCCATTTCAGCATGAGGTTAAGCACTAACTGCATTGCTGTCAGTCTGGAGTCACTTGTAGGTCAGACTGAGTATAGACAACAGAACGAGATGGTGTTTTACACCACAACCAATGGTAGCTTCATGGTCACCTTCACTGAGACTAGTTTTCAATTCCAAGTCTTACGAAGTGATTTTAAATTCTATCAGCTGCTGGGTGAGGAATTTGAAGTCATATTGCCAGACCATGTCACCTAGTCCAATGATATGACCACCAAACCATCATCTCCCCACACAAAATGATCAGAGGTATAGATAAAGTGGACAGCCATAGGCTTTTTCCTAGGGTGGAGGTAGCTATTACGAGGGGACATAGTTTTAAAGTGAGTGGAGGTAGATATAGGGCAGACGTCAGAGGTAGGTTCTTTACTCAGAGAGTGGTAGGGGCGTGGAATGCATTGCCAGAGAGGATAGTGGAGTCGGCCTCATTAGGGGTATTTAAGCAGCTATTAGATAGGCATATGGATGATAGTGTAAGGTAGGGGTGGAGGTTAAATAGACCTTAGGTTTAGGGTAAAAGTTCGGCACAACATCGTGGGCCGAAGGGCCTGTACTGTACTGTGCTGTTCTATGTTCTATGCACATAACAAGCAAGTACTCCAAACTAATCATTTTTATCACAGTTTGGAAATCACAACATAGGCTTGAGACATAATCCTCTGAGAATGTGAACACTTCACTTTTGGAAAGGTGTCATAATGGGAACACTATAGCACAGATTTATTTTGTGTTACAGAGATGAAAAGTTAGACTAGCACAAAGAGAAAGCTGAGAAGTTAAAAATTTGTTTCAAACTAAGCAGAAAATTTTCAACCGGTGACCTGGCATAGATTGTAAGATTATGATGCAGTAAATAGTGATTGATTGATTCCACTGATTGGTGAGGTGGTAGCAACAGGGCAAAAAAAAAAATCTAATAGTCAGAAAAAGAACGAGTGGGGTAACTGGAATAAAGATCTTGACATGGAGGATGGTTAGAATGAGAAATACTCTGCCACAAAACAGCAACACAGGCTCTATATTCTTTTCAGTGACCATTAATTAATTACTTTTAAATACAGCATGACAGAAGTAAGCAAAATAAAAGGTACTTTGTGGAAAAAAACCATATCAGCACTAACCTAGTTGGGTTAAATGGCCTGTTTCTGTGCTGTTAACACTCTCTGATGAAAAAAGAGCAAAGTGGATGCCCAACAAGTTGGAAAGCTTGCTCAAAATGGAAGTATTACCATATTGGCAGTGTCACTTGTATGGGGTCAGAGTTTCCCCAACATTCCTTCAAAGTGTTAAATACGTAAAGTTTTCCTGTTTTATAAATAGTTTGAAAAGCAAGAAGTTTCCTCAAGGAAACTCAAGTGAATCCAATAACGTGAAGCATCGATAATCTGGGGTCTCAATGTTCACTGTAGAAAAAGGAACAGTTTCACCAGGGACTGGAGTCATTAACCACACTGAAGACGACAAGTGCTTTCTCCAGGCACTTACATTTCACATCATATCTGATATCCCGAGCTTAAAAATATTCTTAGGACAGATTGAACAGGTTGTGACTCTTTTTCAAGAGTAGGAAAAGCCAAGTGTTGACCTGATAAGATTATGAAGAGGTGTGAAAAAGTAGACATAGAAAAGATGCAGAGAGCAAAATAAAACCTAGGGGCCATAAACATTGACATTAACACATTAAACATTGAATGTATTAGTGACTACCTTAAATACTGAAGAACCACTCCACAATGTCAGAAATCTGAAAATGAAAACAGAAAATGCTGGAAATACTCAGCAGGTCTGACAAGAGGCTTTTTAAAATTTATTTTATATATTTATGTTACAGACTTTATGCTTGTATTACAGGGGATGGGGGAAGCTGCCAAGCCAGAACTGCACTTGAATGGAATTGTTTGGTAGGACCATTTCAGAAGGTGGTTATTGTTAACCATGTTGCTATGGATTTGGAGTCACACATAGGCCAGACTGGATAAGGTGGCAGATGTCTTTCCCGATAATGAACCAAACAGGTTTTTACAACAATCAATATTACGATTCATGACTACCACTGAACCCCAGATTAATGAACTGAGTTTAAACTCCACTCACTATTAGCCTGGCCCAGTGGATTGCTTGTCCAGGATCAGTGCTGCTGTCTCTGCAATGATCACAGACTTAAAGTATTAAGTTCTCGCTCGCCACAGTTGTTGTTCAGACCTGTTCAGCATTTCCAGTATTTTCTGTATTGATTTATTCACACACAAGAGTAGTTCCAACTCACAACCTAGTTGGAACTAGCAACCAGGAACAGTAGCTGAGAAGAACAACACTGAATCCTATAAAGGGGATGTTAGATAAGTACAACATAGAAAGGAATAGAAGGATATCTTGACGTGACTGATGAATTAGGGTGGGAGGTGTTTTGTCCAGTGTATAAACACTAGTATGGATACGTTAAGACATATGGCATTTTTTCTGGGCTGGTAGAGACTCTCAGGCAGTCCACTTTTCATTTTACCGCTGAGTCAATACTCTTAATTCCAAATTTAAGCAACACAGTAACTGGGCTAGTCAACCGTGCATCAGTCTTTACAATCACCAGCCTGATTGCTAATATGTACATAAACCTTCAATTGTAGCTCCTAATAAGCATCCAGTGAAATTACAGTCACTAACAAAACAAATATTACACAGACAGTTCTGTTTCGTTAACATGAACTGGCTAATTGTTGAATAATGGACGTTGTTTGAATAACACGAACTTTCTGCTGTTTCTGTATTCTGATTTTCTATAGCGATCTCTTTGTAATGCAATTTTCTAAGGTGGTTTTCTGCAGCACGAGATCATGCAAGAATGCAACTATCGTGTTATAGGAAAACTACCTGTATGCATAAAAACAAAAAGACTAATGTGATTACAAAATGATATATTTTATATCAAAACCTCTGGTGAGAATCAGCATTGTATCATCTTGAGCAGAACTTCCCGATAAATTTTGAGCCCCTACCTTTTCAAAATGACCACTTCGAATGTAGTAGTCAGCTAAAGAACACCAAAGCTTCCCTAGTTGGTCGGTGAAGCGAGTCAGGCCTCCCCGGATAATGGCTCCAACATTCAGGGACTTCACTTTGTCTGGGTTTGTAGAAATGAGATGGCAAAGCTCATGCCACAGCTGTGGAAATACAAGGCATTTCAGTAAAAATGCAGGTCTTCATTGTCTGTATCTCAAAGCTTTTGCTTCTTTCAACACTCATCATTGCATTCCTTTTCAGTAAACCTGCCACAGTCCCATACAGTTGCTCTGTCATTAGACAGAGACACGACTGGTGATGGTTTAATCTGGGGGTCTCTGTGCCTCAGGTGAAGGGAGAGGTTGAGAAGGCAGGGAGGCGATGGCCTAGTGGTATTATCGCTGGATTGTTAACCAGAGAGACCCAGATAATGTTCTGGGGCCGAGTTCGAATCCCGCCACAGCACATGGCAGAATTTGAATTCAATAAAAATCTGGAATTAAGAGTCTAATGATGACCATTGTCGATTATCACAAAAACCCATCTGGTTCATTAATGCCCTTTAGGGATGGAAACTGCTGTTCTTACCTAGTCTGGCCTACATATGACTTCAGACCCACAGCAAGGTGGTTGACTCTTAACTGCCCTCTGGGCATTTAGGGATGGGCAATAAATGCTGGCCTAGACAGCGATGCCCTCACTCTGTGAACGAATAAAGAAAAAAGGCAGGACTTTCATGGTAACCTCAGCTGGGATAGGAATTGAACCCGCAGCACTGGTGTCACTCTGCATCACAAACCAGCCATCTGTCCAACTTAGCTAACCAAGTGAAGCTTGTTTCATACACTGCTAGTCACTGGGTGGCAGAGTGGCACAGTGGGTATACAGAGTAGGTAGTGGAGTACTTAACTACTAGGACCCAGTCTGGAATGAACTTGTTTCCTCCACTTTTTAACTTCTGCTTCCAAAAAGCAGGCTGGGGTTTCCCAACCAGAGTCACTTGCCAAAGAATCAGCACCCTTTTTTCATGCAGTGTAAATTGCTGCTCCCTCTGAAGTTTGGCATTCTTGCATCTGTCCTGATGGGTGCAAGATGAAAAGTATCATCAATAACACCCTTCACCCCCAAGCAGTACACAAGTTCTACACTATCAAGCGACGTAATCCATTTCAACACACTAGGCTTGATGTCTCACTGTTTCTGCTTACACACAGATAATCAGCTAGACTGAAAACAGGGGCTTACTTGGTAGTTTGATTTCCCCTCTTTTGAGACAAAGGATTCATCGTTGACGATGCCAGCGAGTCGTACTGCAGCCTCATCCAGACGATCAATGGAGCGGAGATACTCGATGTACTCTTCGGCGTTTTCAGGGGACAGCTGTAAATATTAGAAGATTTTGAATAGCGTGAAGGAATATTGTTCATTTGGAAATCAGTCAGTCAGGCGGGGAGCATTGAGAAACATTTAATTTTCTCACCGAGTGGCACACAGGCTCACAACCCTCCAAGGGAAGAAATTTTTCCTATGTCACTTCACAATGATTTATCCTTCTCCATAAGACTACAACTGTTATTTCTAGACTCTCCCACTAAGGAAACAGAGAACTTATTAGGCTGGAAGCTAAGTATTTTGAATTTTTTTAAAATATTCTAATAAATGCCAGAGAACACAAACCCCATTCTCCTCACTACCTTAAACATTCATGTCCTCCACTGCGGATGCACCATGGCAAAATGTACTGTCCACAAACTGCCTGGCAGCTTCTCTAACAACACCTCCTGAACCTATAGCCTCCATCAACCTGAAGAACAAGGTATCAGTGGCAAGGCAATAGCATCACCTCCAAATTCCCCTCCAGGTTCTGATATCCATTCTGACTTGGAACTATATTATGATTCCTTCACTGTTAAACTTCTGCTCTCAAACAGCACTGCGGCAGCAACTTCAATAAGTGGACTGCAGTGGTTCAAGAAGGCACTTCCCCACTTTTTCAAAATCAACAAAGCTGGACAAGTAATTGTGGCCTTGCCAGTGTTGCCCACATCCCCTTACTATTAAAAAGTAAGCACTGTTCGATAGACTGCTCTAACCAGTGGTTCAGAGGACCAGCTAGAAGAGGAGCAAATATTCCAATAAAACTGTGAGTATACAAGTCACAATTACTCTCGTACCTTCAGATAGCGCCTATAGACTCTGACTGCAGTCTCTGACAGTGGAAACAAACGAACAAACTTCAGGTACATGGGCCAGATGCGATAATGCTGAGTGACAGGGAGGGCACGCAGAGCCCTATCGAAGGTTCGACGTGTTCTCGTTACCTTACACTGATCGACCTGGAACTGGCAGTAGTCCAACCAAATACGTGGCATCTGAAATATTAAAGAAATGTATTGATCATTTAATTCCAGCCTCCTGCCCCTGTCCTCAAGTTACTAACTTGTGCTTCTATACTATAGTCATCTGTGTTCATCATATGTAACTGTAGGCAAGTGGTGACTGTATTAACTGGAGACTATGGTCCTAGAAAGACAGCGCTCAAACTTTTGCGTGGGTTTGTAATGTGCATTTCTGTAAATAAATACTTGTAAAACCTTGTAACAACTGGCTCCCATTTTGTCCTGCACCATTTGACTTTCTGGAGTATAATACTCTGGAGGGCCAGTCCTCCACTAACATCTCACTTAGAAAGACAAATGTGGGCAGCGGGAAACTATTTAAACACAAGACAATCCAGTTCTCAGTCAGGAAATACATTTAGTATCCAGTGGGAGGCATTGGGAATCCGAGTTGTTCCCTGCTCACCCTGCCACAGTCCACAGCTCAACAGCGCTAAGATCAATGTGTGGCTGAGATCACCCAAGTGAGATCATCACATCCCAAACAATTAATGCTACAATCTTTTGGGCTGTGTATGAATTAATATAATACAAATTGGTGCTTTAAAATTCAAAGCATATTTCTAAAGTCATCAAACTCACTATAAACCAGAATCAGATAGTAGGTGTGTATTAGAAGTATCAAGTCTAAAGGTATTAAAACAGTGAAGATAGACTTTTGGTGGCACTGGAAGCAAGGCAGAAGAGCTGGAGCTGGAAGAAAAAGCCTTAGCAATGGACTAAAGATGGCCTTTGAAGCTTCTTTTGGAAGGGACCCCTATTAGTTTGAGATATTGTTTAAGCAGCTGCCCACTTTACATCCAAAGAACAGTTTCACTTATGAACAGAGAGACCTAGGGTCTCAAGTACATAATTCTTTTAAGTTTGCATCACACACAGATAGGGTGGTTAAGGCGTTTAGCACGCTTGCCTTCATTGTTCATCCGAGTACAGGAGTTAGGACGTTATGTTGAGGTTGTACAGGACTAGTGAGGCCTCTTCTGGAATACACTGTCCAGTTCTGGTCTCCCTGTTATAGAAAGGATATTATTAAATTGGAGAGGGTTCAGAAGAGATTTACCAGGATGTTGCTGGGAATGGAGGTTTTTGAGTTATGGGAAAAGCTGCACAGACTGGGGCTATTTTCCCTAGAGAGCAGGAGGTTTGAGAGGTGATCTTACAAAGGTTTATAAAATCACAAGGGATACAGATAAGGTGAATGGCAGGTGTCTGTTCCAGAGGGTGGGGGATTTCAAGACTGTGGGGCATATTTTTAAGGTGAGAGGAGAAAAATTTAAAAAGACACGAGGGGCAATTTTTTTAAACAGAGAGTATGGTTTGTGTGTGGAATGAACATCCAGGGGAAGTGGTGGATGTGAGTACAGTTACAACATTTAAAAGACATTTGGAAAGGTACACGAATAAGAAATGTTTGGAGGCATGTGGGCCAAGCGCAGGCAGGTGGGACTGGATTAGCTTGGGATTATGCAAGGCATGGACTGGTTGGATGGAAGGGTCTGTTTCCATGCTGTATGACTTTATTACTATGAACATGGTTAGCTTGTAAAAGGTTAAGACAACAGGCTTCATTTTTTTGGAGGGGGTGGTGGAGAACAGTAGTGCTGACTTTTTTCAATGCATTCACAAGACATGGAAGCTGCTGACAAGGCCTGGAGCTAATGTCCACTGTTAACTGCCCTTGAAAAGGTGGTCAGCAGCCCTCTTGACAACTAGATGGCCAGTTAGGTGACTTTAAAGGGCTATCAGTCGATCATCTTGCTGTGGGTCTGGAGTCACAGTTGATTAGACTGGGTAAAGATGGCAGATTTTGTCTCCAAAGGGTACGAGTGAATCAGATAGGGTATTTTTTTAAAACAACAACCAGTTGTTACATAGTCACCAACACCAGCTCTTGATTCTAGATTTACTGCATTCACTGAATTTAAATTCCCCTGTGGCTCTGATGGGATTTGAACTCACGTCTTCTGATCGTTACCCAGGCCTCTGCTGTACCAAACAATGCAACATTACCACCATACAACCTTACTCACTAGAGCTAAAACAAATCAACATGTACCTTGTGCATGAAAACCAGGGCTCGCTCATGGCAGTTGTTAACCTCCTCAAATGCAGGGTCTATGATACATTTTCCCTTCACCTGTTTCCGCCTCTGTTTCAGGTAATTGTACCACAGCTTGTAACTGGGAAAGAATTAGAAGCAGATTTAACATACGATACCCATCACGATATGCAAAATCCCTTGGAAAATTCCAAGGGGAATCTCCAGGCGGTACTCCTCCTAACTTTCTCCCTTTTGTCCTGCAAGTGCTGACTCTCACTGCCCTCTGGTCATTTTTATTTAATACTTTTGTTAATGATTTGGGGCCAGGAGTTATGAGCACAACTGTAAAATTTGCTGAAAAATACAAAGCTCAACAAGTGGACAGCTTCAAACAGAATAAGCTAAGGAAGGATTTGAACATACATGTGAACTAGGAATATGGCAACAGGTGAAACGCAATGTAATTCAATAATAAGGCCAACATAGAAGAGGGAGTTCCCACATTGTGCATGTGAAGGCTTGTAGCTGTCTAAAACTAGGGGTCATAAATATAAAACAATCACCAATCAATCCATTGACTAATTCAGGAGAAACTCCAACACCAAAAAACTGAGCAGAATATGGAACTTGCTGCCACAGAGAAGAAAATCAACACCTTTAGGGAGAAGCTCGATAAAGGAATAGATATCACATTGATTAAGCTCTGTTGCGGAAGGAGTTTTCTACACAGCAGCAGAAACACCACCATTGACCAGATAAACCGAATAGCCTGCTTCTGTGCTTTTACACTCCACACAACTTGTTGTAATCTAAAATTGATATATTTAGTTTTCCTCAGATGCACATCATAGACGGTATTTGGTCTGGAACATCATTAAAGTGCTTCACTAAGTGAGCTGACTGTACACCTCCGAAGCAAAAGCTCTAAGTGGGCGAAAGCTGCTAATTCCAGTTACGTTTAAACCACTGCCATCGAGGATTATTAGAAACATCAGCAACTGACACATCCCAAGGCAAAATTCTTTTCCATAAACTGTGTGATTGATGCAGACAAGATACAAAATTTGATCTATGTTTAACCTTTGATCTTTTGAACAAGTCAATAGCTTCTGTCAGTGATAGTAGGAACTGCAGATGCTGGAGAATCTGAGATAACAAGGTGTAGAGCTGGATGAACACAGCAAGCCAAGCAGCATCAGAGGAGTAGGAAGGCTGACGTTTGTCTAGGCCCAAAACGTCAGCCTCCCTGCTCCTCTGATGCTGCTTGGCCTGCTGTGTTCATCCAGCTTTACACCTTGTTATCTCAGCTTCTGTCAGTTGTTGATCTCAAAAGTCTCTATGCCCCCATGTAATCACTAAACCTTGTTGCTTCCACCAAGAAACAATACCTGCCAGGAAGTTCTTTAAGCGCTCTCTCATAAATCATGTTCACCACATGTTTGGGTGCAGACTGCTTAAACTCTATGTAGCGGACCCAGCATTTAACAGAGTAAGGATTGCGAATGATCTCTTCTTCATATGGCAGATCATCTTCTTCCTGTCAAAGAGATTCAGACAAGTGAACAGAATGAAGACCAGGGGATGCAGGCAAGTCACCAGTTTATCAGACTCTTGGGGAAAATGTTGCACTGACAGCATGTAAAACATCAGCTTTGTCAACACAAACAGCAACTTGATAAAGCAAAACTGATCAATTTATCTATCACAAAAAGTTCTTCGAAACTTCTTTGTGAACTTTCTAATGCACTTCTGAAGAAAGAAAATGTTTTGGTACTTAGCGTTTAACTTGGAATTATACAATTAATTCACACAGCAATTTGTGTTCAGCTTGGTGTTACTTGTAACAGCCAAGCCCAAGCTGTAACCAAATGGCATATCAAGAACGTACGATCCCTACACTCCAAATCTATTTTGGGAACACAAACAGCAAGACTGAAGTACTTGACTTGAACAACAAACAGCAATTTTGTACACATTTGGCAAGGGATGGTTGAAGACAATCGTATGCTGGGGCTGCCCCGTTTATACAATGTTTAACAACACAATAAGGTACTTAACTGTCTCAAATCTCAGGTTCGTTTTCCATGATTGTCATATCTGCTGACAATCATTCTTAAATAGGCAAGTTAGGTTTACAGAATTAAAGATTTGTAGGCCAATTTTCAGCATTCAGTGCAAATATAGTTTTTGAGGAGTATCTTCTTGAAGCTAAGTAGTGCAATCTAAAGAACTGAAGTGTAAACTATGGAAAAGAATCATCTGTCAGTTGCAAAATGCTTCCCGTCAAATGTATTACTTATTGAAGCTACTGTTCATTACATGTGTCATTTGAGTTCAAATCCCATTTTAGGATTTCAGCACAAAATTCAAGGCTGATGCTCCCAGCTGAGTCCTGAAGGAGGGCTGTGCTGTCAGAGCCACCACCGTTCACACAAGGTCAAAAAGTTACTAGTGGGTCAGCAGAAATTGGTATCGCCATTATCTTTTTGAATGGTTGAGCAGACTTAAGAGAGTCATACAGCATAGAAACAGACCCTTTGGTCCAACGCGTTCATGCCAACCAGGTGTCCTAAACTAAACTAGCCCCATTTGTCTGCATTTAACCCTTATATCTCTAATCCTTTCCTTTCAATATACCTGTTCAAAAGTCTTTTAAATGTTGTAATTGTACCCACCTCTATCATTTCCCCTGGCAGCTTGTTCCATACACTTGAGGATTTAAATGGCCTATTCCTGCTTCCATTTCATATATTCATAAACCGAGGCTCTGTCAGCTCTAGCAGGTGAATATGAAAGATCCCATGGTGCTATTTCTGAGCACTGGTATCTCTCCCCAGTGCCCTGGTCAGCTAACATGACATAATGATCTGCTCGTAATTACACTGCTATCTGTGGGAGCTTGTTGTAGAACATATAGCTGCTGTATTTCCTATCTGACACAAGTGAAGCACATCATTGGTCATGGAGTGCTGTTGAGATGTTGGTAGGTTGGCTCAGTGGTTAGCACTGCTGCCTCACAGTGCCAGTGACATGGGCTCGATTCCACCCCACCCTCAAGCGACTGTCTGTGTAGAGTTTGCACATTCTCCCTGTGTCTGTGTGGGTTTCTTCTGGGTGCTCTGGTTTCCTTCTACAGTCCAAAGATGTGCAGGTTAGGGTATATTGGCCATACTATATTGCCCATAGTGTTCAGGGTTGTGCAGGCTAAGTGGGTTAACCACAGAAAATGAGATTGGGGAGGCGGTGGTGAGTGAATGGTGTCTGGATGGGATGCTCTGTGGAAGGTCAGTAAGGGCTGAAAGGCCTGCTTCTACACTGTAGGGATTTTGAGGTTGAAAAAAGGCACTATATAAATTCAAGTTCTTCTTTTCACACTGCCAGCTCTCTCCAGGGCGAAGAAATTACCTCTGATCAGCCAGTGGCAGTATGACTGCCTGTCAGCTCCAACAGCTACTGAGCAGCAGCACAGACATAGTGTAAAGAAGCTCACTTTCACTTGGGACTCTGTAATCAATGTGGTTGACAAAACTAGGGCAGCTGCTCTGCAACTTTAATTATTAAGTCAAAACATAGAAAAGAGAGAAAATGTAGCACCATACGGTTCCTGAAGGGGAGGTGATAAACTCAAGGAGCCGTCAATGCCGTGGGAGACCAACAAAATAAATCGAGACCGAGGCTTCAGCTGAGGCCTACCCGCAAAGACCAGCTCAGCGGACAGGGAATGTTGTATTCGGAGCTGTCATCTCGGAGTTATACGATTCACTTACAAAAATAACATCGTGTTTCTGTGAAGAACCGCTCATTTTGTCCCCACGGCCGCAGCCTACGCCGAGGCTTCGTGAAGGAGTCGGACCGAACCCAAGGCCCAGGGAGCAAACCCTATCGCCACTCTGATTGGTGGACAGGCCGTGAAACGTCATCAACATCCCGCCCACAGCGGCAGTTGGTTGGATAACATTGTCGATCGACAGGCATATAGACCAATAGTCTTTGGCCCACACTGCCTTCACGTTGATTGGTTAAAACCACCGGTTTCGGCAGTTGATTGGACATAGCAGGATTCGTTTCTGATTGGATTATTTCCGCGAGGGCCCCACGCATATACTGATTCCTATTGGACAAGGCAAACTGATTGACACAGAAACTCGGATGGTGATTGGACTTGTCAATTGATACCGCCCCTATTGGGTATGATGGTAAAAACTGAAAGAACTGGGAATGCTGTAAATCAGGAGCAAAAACAGAAGTAGCTGGAAAAGCTCAGCAGGTCAATAATTCAATAATTTTAGGGCCTAAACTCTCCCATATCCCAGTCCCCAAGCCCATACACCAAACCTTGTTACCACATAGCCTGTCATGTTATAACCTCCTGTTATTATTCAGTAACTATTCACCCTTCCAGCCAGATTGTTATCATCTCCTTTGTCTGTCCAACTGTCTTTCTCTGTCTTTGGGCTCAATCCTATCGTTTACTCCTTACCCCACTCCCTATTTTCTGCATATAAACTGACGTTTACCCAGTCACCATCAGTTCTGAGGAAGGGTCACTGGACCCGAAACATTATCTCTGTTTTTTCCTTCACAGATGCTGCCAGACCTGCTGAGCTTTTCCAGCAACTTTGTTTTTGTTGGGTATCATGGTAAATAGGAGACTGCAACTGGTTTACACACAATGATCAACAAGTTGCATTGATTGTATTAGTCCTCTGGGTTAGAACAAGAACCTGACGTGCTCATGTGGTGCAGCAGTAGTGTCCCTTCCTCTCAGCCAGGAGACCCGGGTTCAACACCCACCTTGCCCTGGAGGTTTTAATAAGAGGTTTCACATCTGAATAGGTTGCTTACGGGGTAACAATCTAGAACAAGACTATGTGGTGCAGTAGTAAAATCCCTACCCCTGAGACAGGAGGCCCAGGTTCAAGCCCTTCCTGCTCCAGAGTGTGTAAAACATCTCTGAGCTGGTTAATATAGAAAATGACCAGAACAAAGCAACAAATGTGAGATTCATTGCTGACATATATTGAGATGTCTACGAAAAGGGTGGTGAGCTTTGGTATGCTCGCCTTCATTGGTCAGTGCAGTGAGTATACGACTTGGGATATCATATTGCGGCTGTACAAGACATTGGTTAGGCCACTTTTGGAATACTGCATTCAGTTCTGGTTTCTCTGCTGTAGGATGGATGTGAAAGTTGAAAGGGTGCAGAAAAGATTTACAAAAATTTTAAAAACTGAAAGAACTGGAGGATGTTGCCAGGGTTGGAGGTTTTGAGCTATAGGGAGAGGTTGAATGGACTGGGGCTATTTTCCCTGGAGCGTCAGAAACTGAGGGGTGACCTTATACAGAGTTTGATAAAATTATGAGGGGTGTGGATAAAGTGAATAGCCGAGGCCTTCTCCCCAGGGTAGAGGAATCCAAAACTAGACGGCTTAGGTTTAAGGTGAGAGATGAAAGATTTAAAAGTGCACGTATGGAATGAGCTGCCAGAAGAGGTGATGGAGGCTGGTACAATTGCAACATTTAAAAGGCATTTGGATGTGGGTACATGAATAGGAAGGGTTTAGAGGGATATGAGCCAAATGCTGGCAAATGGGACTAGATTAATTTAGGATATCTAGTCGGCATGGACGAGTTGGACCAAAGGGTCTGTTTCCATGCTGTACATCTCTATGACTCTAAAAGCGAAAGATGACTTTATTTACTTATTTATTATCAGTGTCTAAAGGCATTGACCATTTCTTGGGTCAGTGCCAGAGGCAAGGACATCTCGGAGCAGCCACAGCAAATTCATAAAGGGGAGAGTGAACAGATGGAGGACATTATACACACAGGTACCATTGGCATAGGTCAAGGAAGGGATGAGGTTTTACAGAGAGAACATAGGGAGTTAGGTTAAAAAGCAGGAGCTCAAGGGTAGTAATCACTGGATTACTCCCGGTGCCACATGCTAGTGACAGTAGGAATAGGAGGATAGGGCAGATGATTGGGTGGTTGAGGACCTGGTGCAGGGGGCAGAGATTCAGATTTTTGCATCATTGGGATCTCTTCTGGGGCAGAAGTGACCTTTTCAAGAGGGCTGGGTTGCACCTGAACTGGAGGGGACCAATATCCTGAGAAAATGTGTCTCACAAATTTGATTGAGTTACTTGAAGAGGTTACCAAGAAGATAGATGAAGGCAGAGCGGTAGACGTTGTCTACATTGACTTTAGCGAGGCCTTCGACAGGGTTCTGTGTGGTAGACTGCTTAGTAAGGTTAAGTCACATGGGATCCACAGAGAGTTAGCCAATTGGATACAACAATTGGCTTGATGGTAGGAGACAGAAAGTGGTCGTAGAGGGTTGATGTTCAGACTGGATGTCTGTGATCAGCAGTGCGTGCAAGATAGGTTCTGGGTCTACTGTTTGTCATTTATGATTTGGATGAAATTTTGAGGTATAGTTACTAAATTTGAAGATGACACTAAAATTGGTGGTATGGTGGATAGTGAAGAAGGTTACCTAAGAGTACAATGAGATCTTGATCAGATGGGGCAATGCGCCAAGAAGTAGCAGCTGGAGTTTAATTTAGATAAATGCAAGGTGTTCCATTTTGGTAAGGCAAACCAGAGTAGGACTTTATGTCCTACAGTTAATGATAGGGCCCTGTGGAGTGTTGTTGAACAGAGGGACCTGGGGCGCTGGTTTATAGTTCCTTGAAAGTAGCGTTGCAGTTAGACAGGGTGCTGAAGAAGGCATTTGGCACACTTGCCTTCATTGGTCAGTGCATTGAGTATAGGAGTTGGGAAGTCATATTGCAGCTGTACAGGACATTGGTGAGGCCACTTTTGGAAATACTGCATACAATTCTGCTATAGGAAGGATGTTGTTAAACTAGAAAGGGTGCAGAAAAGAATTTACAAGGATGTTGCAGGACTGAAGGGTTGATTTATAAGGAGAGGCTGGATAGGCTAGGATATTTTCCCTGAAACATTGGAGCCTGAAGGGTGAGTTTATAGAGGTTTCCAAAATCATGAGAGGCATGGATAGGGTGAATAGTCAAGGTCTTTTCCCCAGGGGAGGGGAGTCCAAAACTAGAGGACATAGGTTTAAAGTGAGAGGGGAAGGATTTAAAAAGGACCTCTGGGGCAACCTTTTCACACAGAGGGTGGGCATGAATGAAATGAGCTGCCAGAGGAAGTGGTTAGAGGTGGGTACAAATACCATATTTAAAAGACATTTAGATACATACATGAATAGGAAAGGTTTAGAAGGATATGGACCAAATGCAGGCAAATGGCACTATAGTTAAATTTGGGATATCTGGTCAGCATGGACGAGTTGGACCGAAGGGTCTGTTTCCGTGCTGTATGACTCTATGACTCACCATGTGATACTGTATCTGTCTCGGAATGGGATGGTCCACCATTCTAATTACATGCTCTAATTACAATGCTGTTGGGCTGACAGGAGCATTGCCTCAATATTTGTCGATTGGGCTTGCTGTAAAATTTCAAGGTTTCTAATCTGATCTTGCCAGTGGATACCATGGATAGAGTAAAGAATAATATTGATACCGAATGGTGTCTGGCACTGGTTTCAATGGCTCTCTGTATTTGTAAAATATTGTAAGTAAAGTATTGTAGAACGAGCCAAAAGCTGGGATATTATGCAAATTATAATTTATATATTAAAGAATATTATAAAGTTCTAAATCAACTAATTCATTCTAGCTCTGTTCCAAATTTTCTCTATCTTTATTAGAATCCCTTCAGCGTGGAAACAGGCCCTTTGGCCCCACAAGCCCACACTGACCGTCCAAAGAACATTGTACCGGGGCCCAGCCTGCTACCCTTTCCCCGTAATGCTGCATTTCCCATGAATGACACACCTAATCTAGGCTCCCCTGCACATCTTTGGACAGTGAGAGGAAACCGGAGCACCCGGAGGAAACCCACGCAGACACGGGGAGAATGTGCAAACTCCACACAGACCATCACCTGAGGGTGGAATCAAACCTGGGCCCCTGGAGTCGTGAGGCAGCAGTGCTAACCACTGAACCAAAATTTCACCATCTACTATAGTGATTTTGAACCCATGACCCCAGGGTATTAACCTGAGGTTCTGGCTTACTAGTCCAGTCCTCTTACCACTATGCCAACACGTGTTCCCAAAGTACTTTTGCAAAAGTATCGATATTGGTGTATATGAAATATTGAGTGATGTAAATAGTCTCAGTGCTGTATATTTTTTGAAGATGCTTTTGTCCTTGCTGTCATTTAGAATGTGCAGTGACAGGCTACTCACTAAGTAGCAACCATATCCACTTGCATTTATGCATTACAGAGATGGTAAGAACTGTAGATGCTGGAGTCAGCGATAACCCAGTGTGGAGCTGGAGGAACACAGCAGGCCAGGCAGCATCAAAGGAGCAGGAAGAAGGGTCCCAACCTGAAACGGCAACTTTCTGCTCCTCTGATGCTGCCTGGCCTGCTGTGACTGTAGGAATAGGAGGATAGGGCAGATGATTGGGTGGCAGGGGGCAGGGATTCAGATTTTGGATCATTGGGATCTCTTCTGGGGCAGAAGTGACCTTTTCAAGAGGGCTGGGTTGCACCTGAACTGGAGGGGGACCACTACCCTGAGAAAACATGTCTCACAAACCTGATTGAGTTATTTGAGTTCCTCCAGCTCCACACTGTTTTATGCTTTACAGGAGCGTTAGAAAGCCAAGTATGACTCCTGGTATGTAAGGAGATATTGGGGCAGGTGACCAAAAGCTTGGTCAGTTGTCTTCTATGGAATATCTTAAAGGAGGTAAGTGGGATGGGGAGGTGAAGAGATATAGCAAGGGAATTTCAGGGTCTGCAGCAATTCCAGGAAGATCCCTAGACTCTGACTACATTCCTTGTCA